TTTTATTTTGCAGGGTCCCTGGAGTCTTATTTTGAAAGTCTAGCAGGGTTGTGTGTTGAGGAAAGGGTGAGACCCAAAATTGATACTTTATGCATTTCCAATTCTTTCATTAAAGTATCGATACTCAAAAAAGTATTGATACTAAAACGTTGTATCCGGATACGATTCTTATTTTCAAAAGTATCGATACTGCGCTACCACCTGTGGTACCTAAACAATAATTCGTCTAGAGTGCAGAATAGAGGAAAAATCTATTCAATTCAGTTTAATTCTATAGAGCCAATTCACAACACAAGTCATCTCAAGGCACTTTACAGTTCACCAGATCATCCAGTCAAATTGATTCAAAGTTTTCTTTGCAAGGAAAACCAGTTGATTGCATCGACTCATTGACTCAAATGCAATCCCTCACACTAAGCATGCTTGTAGCGACAGTGGAGAGGAATAACTCCCTTTTAACAGGAAGAAACCTCCAGCAGAACCAGACTCAGTGTGAGCGGCCATCTGCCGAGGCCGACTGGGGTTCAAGGAGACAGAAGCAGAGACACAAAAATCAGCTATAAAAGGCGACCCCTTTAGTTAAAATGCATTGCAAATACATGAATTAAAATTGCTGAACACGGTGTGATTAAATAATTCTGTGCACTTTTCAGTTTCAGATTTTTTTGTACAAGTGCCGCTGCTGATAATTATTTTTGTTTGGCTAAATTGCAGCTAATTGGCAACAGATTGTAAGTTTATACAAATTAGTATTATAATGCAGGAAGCTTGAGAAGAACATAGTTTGTTCTTCTTTACTAGTTAAAAAAAGCTTTGTTTTCTCAGAGGACCATAACTACCAGTTACAGGTAAAAATTAACATGTTTTCTTATTGATCAGATAGAATATGACTGTGGAGCTTCAACATATTTGGAATTTTTGTTTCTGGCATCATTATATTAGTAAAGAGGTTTATAAATCTTTTTAAACAGCACAGAGAGAAGCGGGGAGAGCTGCAGATTTAAAGGTGAAACAGGTTTACTGGGATATGGAATAAAATATATCTCCAAGTTTACATGAAAAAAATATTCTAAGCTATATTTAAAATCTAGCATATTGATATTTTTCTGGATGGAATTGAAATTGTACATTCTAGGGATGCATAAGATATCGATTTTGGCATCAGAAATAACTGTTATTCATCATTTTTGTATAATTTTATGTTTTTTATAAATATAAATATCAGTGCATTAATGTATTATAACAGATGGTATCGGTATTCTGCACAGTCAGGTATTGGTATCCGTATCGGGGCCAAAAAAATGGCATCGGTGCAACGCTGATTATAATCATTTATTCCAGGTGTTTTAAAAAGGAAAACATCCTTTCATGCTAAAGAGGGAGCTTGTTGAGTTCAGACAATGACTAGTAAGGCTAGTTAGCACTTTTCTACCAATTATTGTGAACATGTCTCTATAGAGTAGCTGGGTTATTAAAGAGGAGAGCATAAACTCTTACTTCAGGTTAGTGGGGGATTTAAAGAAGTCCACTGAAAAGCCAAAGTAGCTTCTTTCTGGTCCGGAGTACACGAAGGGTTTATCCACATCCAGGTTGAAGGAGGCTCCGCTGTGGAAGCTCCAACACGCCAGGAAGAGCAGCCCGACAGCTGTCCGTCCTGCAGCCATGGCCGCCGCTGCCGATGCCGCTGGAGATCCCCGGGGCTTCACCCGGGAAAACACCGACCCAACGGAGGCTAGCTCTCACCCTGATAGTTACTCCGAGGAGCCGTGGCGTCAGTCAAACAGCAGAGAGGCTTTCAGCTCAGGGGAAATCTGTCCCTGCGGTCTCCAGAGAACGAGTGGTTTCTAAATGAAGCAGCTTCTGTGTCTCTGGATGATCCGCTGAGCCTCAGACAGCGAACGAAGCGAGGCGAGAGGACGGCAGGTAGACCCGGTCCGCTCCTGGTCTCCCCTCGGAAGTTTTTCACTTTGTTTCTGAGTGATAAACGGAACAGAAAGCCGGAACCAACTCCTAAAATGGGTCAGAGCAGCACCGCTTCAGTACGAGGAATCAGTGGGAATGTGTCATGTTCAATCAAGTTCAGTCAGTTACCCTTAAAATCCCAGGTAACGACTTCCGCTGGTCTCATTTCAAAATAAAAGCACCTCAAAAGTTAGATTTCCCACTTGTGGGGAAAACATTAAAATCTTGGTATTAGATGATGAAATTGTAGACAAGTTGTGCTGTTTTTAATTGATGTTATTAATCACAAACATTTTGAAATAAGCGTTTCTTAAGAACTTGTGTTTCTTGAGTCATTGGCATGTCTGCGTTGTCAAATAAACAAAGAAAATAAAAAAGGATTAGATTGGTTGCTGGGCGGTGCACTGGCAACTAGCAGCTGAGGGTTTAAAGAAGTATAAAAGTAAAACAATAAAATGCATGGGCGGTTCTAGACAGGGGCCAATGGGGGCCAGTGCCCCTGTAGATCATATCCTGGCCCCTGTTATGGCCCCTGTACTTAAGACATAACACTCAAAGAAGTTCAAATGATGATATGCGCTGGAACAGACATGGTTACTAATAGGTCCTTTGGATTTATTCTTTTTTTTTTCTTTACAAATTTTGTTTCACTAATTATTTTAAAAAACAATAAAGTTATTCAGGACCCCAGTTTTCATCTGCTAAACATTTTTTTTTTCAAAAGAAATAAAAAGAAAGATTCACATTTTTACAGCTGAATTTATCCTTTTTTCTTCTGTTCTAATTCAGATTTGATAGAAAATGGTAATTTTAACTTAAATTAAGTCAAAAATATGTAACATTCCTAAGTTGACCCAATACGACATAGAATTCTTTTCAAAATATGCATTAGAAAACACAATTAAACAATAATCTCAAAACTGGAATTCCATTAAGTCAAGTTGGATGTTATTCCTAGATGACTTCAGAAATAGATTAACCAAAGCATAAAGAGTCTGTCTGTCTGTCATTAATAACATTAATAGACATTAATAGGGATTAATATTGAAACCAGGCCCACACCATAACAGTCCCCTCTACAAACTTGCATATGGATGTGTGTGCATGTTGTTTGTCCTGCATGTCTCTAATGTAAGTTGTTTTGTGTCTGTTAACGTTTACCGCTCCTCTCGTCCAATGACTGCTGGTAATAACCATCAAAATCCCTACAACAATTGTTACTGTAAAGGCAACGGATAGATGTGTGTTAACTAATTGACTTTATTTTGAAGGCCGAATGTTTTGGTGAGCTTCTCCCCATCTGCCTATGTTCAACTTCACATGTGAGATTGTTGATAGACAACAGGAAGTTTGTTATTGAGCATCAGACAGAAAAAGTCCACAGTTCTTTAAGAAACACACAGACATCAGAAGAGAGAAGCCATTTCTCTCATCTCATCCTGCAGCCCCAGTTCATTGGAGGTTATAAGCTGTGATGATCTCTGCTACCTAGAATAGAATACAAATGCAGTATCAAATGAATTACTATAATCTGTTGTAAGATTTGTGTTTATAATGAAAACTGAGTAAAAAATCAATCAAATTGTGACTTGAAAACATGACTTTGGATAACTGAACTAAAACTAATGCTTTATTGTGCTCTTTCCAGAAGCCTGTTTTTCTGTCCATCTACGATAACTTCAAAGGCCACGTCTCTTTAACCTCGGAGTAATTATATTACTGTTGATATTAGATCTGTCTGCAAACAAGCAATCTGATTTGATATAAAGTAAGACATTTTGACCAAATATCCTTCTTTTTGTTGACAGTTTAGAAACAATTTTAAAAATGGATAGATATCTTCTTTTATATACACACACAGGATATTTCTATAGTGTATAAAAATATAATGTCTAGAAACTGTTAATGTGGCAACTTCTATGCCAGAAAAAAAGTACTTACAAAATGTGATTGATTAAAGTCAAGGATAACAGAAAAACTATTTTTAAAAGGGTTAGAGTAATATGGGTGGGTCAGGTGAGAATCCTGAAATAAGTAGCTTATTTTCAAAATTATCCATTACTCCACTGCAATCTTTTATTCATTTTCTGCTAGTTTATCATGGAAAAAATAAGACGGAGCCAAACTCAAGAAGGCTTAGAACTGGAAATAGACTCTAATCACAGCAAATAAAAATAAATAAATCATGGAGATGATGGTATGTCTCTGATTTACTGGTTCAAAGAAAATCAAAAAGTGACTAAAGAGTCACCAGTTGTCATTTATTTAATGATGTGTTTACAGTTACAGTCACAGTCGAACTGTGACCTTTAAAACAAAACAAAATGGTGTTTTTAACTATAATATGACAAGTATTCTTTTGCCTTTTGTTATTTATTTATCGATACCAGCAGAGATATACTCAGATTGAGACAAGTTGTGGCCTAAATACCGGTCTCTGGTCTCTGGTCTTGCTAGCGGCCTCAGAATGTCATTTTTCGCTCTTGAGCTTGGTTCTGTATTATTGGCCCTTAAAAAAATAAAGTCGAGGCCTGTTTGACACCGTATAGGTTTTTTTTTTAATAGAGCACAATTTTCCCCACAAATGGATATCACAAAAAAAAAAACAACAACAAAAAAACAAAGTAAACAAATGTGATTTAAAAGAAAACTCAACTGAAGTTATGGAAGCAAAGCTGCACGCTGCTATCTCAGGTAACCACTTCTCCTGCATTTTCTGTTTACCATATCTACTATAATATTGTAACTATAAATCTATGTGATCCAAATTTATCTTAGTTTACACATGAAGCAGTTACCAGTAGTATTATTATTCAGAAATCTTTTTCATTTGTCTATGAGTACAATTATTGCTGTCTTGCCTTTTTCATTTTTATTTTCATTTTGTTGAAGCATGTTTGAAAAGCAATGTCTGACTTTGATTTGATTCCTTTGATCAAACCTTTATTGTTATTATTTTTTCGATTAAAGTTATTTTTGTGACCATTTTGAGATTTTTCTTTCATTTAATGAATGGTAACAAAAATTTGCCAGTATTCAAACAGCGTTTGACCCAGTTCTTTCAGAAAAAAAATAAAAATAAATTAGGGGACATACCTGTACTTTTTAGAACAGGCTAATCCAAGTTACTGTAAATGAGCCTTAATACTCACATCATGTCCTCTTTCTGGAAAAATGTGGATTAAGATTTAAATTTATTCAAAAAAGTTAAAGACAAGGAAAGCACTTTTAGGAAAAGACCTTCATACCTTGAAGCTTCTATGCTTCCAGCTTTCTTTGGGTGACTATATAACAGGCTAGTTCAAGTTCATGTTCAGCTTTGGTGCCAAACTGGGCTGAGCGATTGTCCCTTTTTATCAAAATGAACACAATGTTGGCTTCAGAGGACATTACATGCACTGTTACAGAGAGAACATGTGGAATAACCTACTGCTCCAATTGAGCTACACTGAACTGACTTTTTATGTCTATAAATCCATGAGCCGTCATGTCTGCATCCAGCAACAAGTCAGCGAGTGAGCTTGGGGCCTTTTTCGTCTTATTTGGCCATGAACTGCTCTGAATTACTGAAACAATGAAGTGTGCACACAAGAATGTGTGGCAGAACTCCCTTGAGTTAAGTGGGGGGTTAATGTGTTCATGTGTGAGTGAGCTTTTAATGCTCTCACTCTAAAACATCTGATAAAGCTGCGAGGTATCGAGATAAATGGCCGAGTCTGGAGTAAATGCCACGAAGAAATCTGTTTCTAGGTAGCAGCATGTTTGGGAAGAGAGCAGATTGAGGCTGAGAACACGGTGTTTGTGTGTGGCTAACAGGAGGTATGGTGTAATACAAATTGTGTAAGCCATAGTTATGCTGATTACGTAGCCTGTAGAGCCCAGATGCACGTAAGTTTGGCTTCAGCCTGGCATGAAGCTTATGCACTCTTGAAAGGCTTGTCTTAGTCATGAGTTTTGGTCTGGGTGGGGGTGAGATGTGTGAACATTCTTGTAAAGTGAGGATATTTTGGCTGCTTCTCTTGGCTGGACTCACTTTAGGTTGTGCTTTTAAAAGTGCTGGTTAACAACCAAGACCTTACTTTTAAAGGTTACAGAAAGGGTGGGGATTACAATTTCTGGTTTTGGTTAATTAAGCAGAAGTTTTCAATTTGCACCATTGGGTGTGAATAAAAATACTCTCTCTTTTCATAATAAGATGCCTTGTGAAAATATGCACACCACTTATTAGTCTCAACGTTCTGTCATAAGGCAAATTTCAGTTTGATTACATGAGAAAGAGGATTACAAATCTAAAAATGTGTTCTACATATGTATTGACTGGTATAAGTTAAGCCCTTTAGGGAAAGACCGGTCAGCAAGGACTATTCAATGGATCATTATCTATACCTAAAACTAATACATTCAAGGTCATTTAATGAATTTAGCCTTAGTCAGTAAAAAACGAAATACAAATATTTTTGTCGCAATCACTGAGGCTGGGAGCGGCCATCTTTGCCCAAATACAGTAACACCTCACTCCTGACATCTTGTGACGTCACATTGCGGTAAGCCTAGCGCCATTCTCCCCGCTTTACAAGCAAAACCAATGGGAACTATTAAACACATCTGCAATCAACAAAAATTATTGAAGATTTCCAGAGGACTTCACCATTGAAATTCACCAGAGCTATAGCTAAACTGACAATGCCCATGTGCATGGCAGTTGGATGTTATAATACATCGGGTTGAAATAAAAAAAAAGTTAGTTATTTCACTTTTCCAATTCATGATCTTCCACGGACCGGTTCATCATTGGATTGCCAACTTGACGTTAGGAATCCAGTTTGTGTGGGTTGTGCTTTTGTTTGTTTTCCCTCCACCACCAGGTGGCGCCTGGTTCTCATTGGCTTCCTCACACACCTGCGGATGGTTGCTTCATTACTGGAGGACTCTTAAGCTGCTGACTGCCTCTACCTCGACGCCAGAGTGTTTGCCAGTTATGGGTACTCTAGCCAAGCTGAGTTTTGCTTAGTCAAACTGAGTTTTTTTCAACCTGAGTCTTAACCTTGTTGTTTTTTTTCTGTCTTTGCCTCTCGGCAGGAAGTCATCCTGCAAACTCCCCCCTGG